TATCTGTTAAATCCCATTCCATCCCATTGCGGCCGGGCGGATGAACATGGTTTATGTTGCAAACCTTTGCCCCCCAACACATAATTACTGGTAATGTGATACACCCTATAATTGCATAGATATACACTGCAGGACGTCTTGGGAACTCTTTTGAATCGTGGTTTTCTCTTATACATTGACTTTGGAAGTACAAGTCGCCTCTGGGGAATCCTAACAAAGTGGTGGTAGGAGTGTTGAGGGGAGTACATTGTGGGCTTGTTGAGAATTGCAAGGATCCATTGCAACGTATCAAGTTCGTCCTTCGCCTTCAAGCGTGCCGCCGCATAAAAGTAAAGTTATGTTAACTCAAGTATCCATATGATCTTCCACTCACCAGCACAGAATAGTAAGGAAGTATCATTGAGTAGCACCTGCAAAAATATCTAGAAAGCCGATTTCAGTTGAGACTTTAGAGAAGGGCAGTTGTACTTTTGGTACACATCTATGGGTCAACAGTCAACACCTCACCCTTCACACCATGACGGGATATGAAAGAATGAAACCCCTGATAGAAGAAACTGTGGTTAACCGTTGCGGGGTTTTGACCTACCCGAAGGAACTGGGAGCGTCCGACCCCTTAACCATGCTCGTTGAAGGTACTGCTTCTCCACTGCACACCAAAGCTCAAACAACACACATATATAAATCCTCATGCGTCACATTTAAGCAATTTAAACCTAAACCATACTTTATTAAAACATATTAAACCATGCTCAACACATGCAGGTCATTAGGCCCAACTGCTCAACACATCTCCGCTCCAAAGCTGGGCCACTGGTTTTCCTTCTTCTGCTTCGTTCGACGCGAAAAAACCACGCGCCTGGAACATGGAGTAAGGCGGGAAGAGCGTCTCCGACTCATTGGATCTGGCCGGTCCGGCTTCCGCTCGTGGTGACGGTCCAACGGGTTTCTTCCGCTCGTGGTGTTTCGTTTTCTCCAGGACCAAGCTTCGATGAAGTGAAGTCTGGAACTGAAAGGGTTAGTTCGGAGCCATTGCGGAGCCAGCCTGGATCAACTGCCAAAAATAGAGTGAGTTTGGCCACCACTGTCGGCTTCGCCCACGCGCTCAGAAACCCAGGTGACGCGCCACGTAAGTCGCGCACCTTGAGCTCACATCCTGGCGGGCAATGTGGTCAGGGACCCTGAAGAAACCAATGTAACCATGTAGGTCTACACTGGAATCCGAGTCTATCTTGGACCACCAACCACCCAACACTTTTCCTATCAAAACTGGAGGTCAAATGGGTTCTAGAATATGTTCTATATAGACTCGATACTATATATATATATGTTATATATATATAATTATATATATTATATAATATTAATATATAAACACACCATACACCTACACATGGATCGTCTGGATAAGCTGGATAAGCATGCACCTCCCCCGTGATCCACCTTCCGTTGACCCACTAGTATACCCCCCAACCAACGTGCTCCGCCTGGATATTCCGGGCTCCGAAGTGATTCTCGGGGATGTCGATGACCCACAGAAAGCCCGGATGATCCTCCGGAGCATCGGCAGCTTTCTGAAGCATCGAAACGCTGCGGTGCATCGGCCGCCGAACCGCCGAAATGGACCGCTCGTCACGCCGAAAGGAGTCAGTTCTCCTGGCCAACGTTGGATTTGCTGTCCAGGAACCAGGGAAAAAACACATCCTATACAGACTGGGCATTCACAAATAAGGGAAAAGATGGGAAAAGCATCACCTTAGATGTGTAAAAGAAACCTGGTAAATCCATATTCTTCCAAACATGGTCACACGGTCAGTGTGCAGGTAAAATCCGTGGTAATATGTGGTAATGTTTCATGTGTGCCGACACATGCAGGTCTCACCAAGCAAAAATCAAGACAAACACACAAACAAACAAACACATGAGCCACGGTCAACAAAATTACGGCATCCCGCTTTCTTTCTTTCTTTATTTCTTTCCAATCACCAGTTCCGGGGTACTGGTTCCGAACGGCGTGCCAAGACATGTCCTTATCAATCAAGGTTCCACACAGAAACAACAAACACAGCATGTTCCCAAGAATCGATCTGCTCAGAACTGCTCAGGTTAAACCTGACGTCCAAGCAAGCAACGTGTCACTATATATATATACATATAGGTGTTGTTGCTGGGCGAATCTGATTTCTCTATGTGTTACAGGCTAGAACCCTACTTGCTTCGCGTGCATCATCATGATCAATGTCATAAATACTCCTGTCGGATTTGACCATTGAGCACAATTCTACACGATCTCGGACGAAATGCACACACGTGTCAGAACCGGTCTTGATACGCCTTGAGAAGATTGATACCAAAAAGAAGCGCTTCATTCTTCGTGGGAAATTGAATGGTCCAAAACTCCAGTGCCAGTCAGTCGCTGAAAAATAACCGTCAACACAAAAATTGTTGAGTCCGACAGGTCGCACAAAGTCTAAACCCCTAACTCCGCTTTTCCATGTTCCCTCATATGGCCTCCATTGCCTTCGCTTCGGAACCAAATGACTTGGACCACACCTCGGACCAAAGCCGACCTCACCAATACCCCTCAAAGAGTCGTCGTCCCGGACCACGACACGTTCGCGTTCTGACCGGCGCCCCGAACGCCTCGCGCTTCTGAAACCTCGCGGCCACCTTGTAGTCACCTGAGGCGGCCACGTCTCGGGTTGGTGCGGTGGAAAGACTGGAAGAGGCGAACATGCCAGCCACGTGATGAGGCGAACCGCTCTCACCTTGCGTTTCAAAAAACCTCATCTGAGGTCGATCCTGAACAAGGGATGGATATGATAGGATATTGAAAGGACCTCACTCTATGCCGAGCTCTGACGCCGACGTCCGAGCGGCTGGTGGTGCTCTGAAACTGCCTGAAGCGAATGGGCACGTCATGCCTCACGCAGAGGGGCGGCGGCGCAAAAAAACTTGGGATTTGGAGGGTGAAAGCCCTGTCTTCACCTGTCATCCGACATGGGGAAAGCCACTGTCTTCAGGGTGTAGAACACATGCAGGGCCACTTTATGGCATGTGTGTGTGAGGGGAGGGGGGGAGATTTCAAGGCTGATCTATGTGTCTACCTCCAGCAGAAGCAATATATAGTTCCAGTTAGTTCTAATCTTCCATAGGCCATGTAGGGCCGAAATTTCAGGGTTGGTCTTTGACACTTTTGGTTCCCAAAGTAGAATACTACATATATATGCACTAACAATATTGTATACATTACTATATATTAGTAGCCATCTATAGCTTTTAGTAATGGTATATGAAACGCATCTCTCATGTATCACGTTCACTGAGCATCATGAATCATAAACCATATATATATAATTATTGATTAAGTATATGTTATTATATAACCCCTCCAAGACTCCACTGATGGGACCACCCGTCGCCCGTCGCCTCAATGCAAGCTTCAATCTCTGCATGTTCAACGGCACCTGATGGATCTGCGAGTGAAGCTTCCGCACGATGAGTGAAACAGTGAAACAAAATGAAACGAATGCGTCAAATCTCAGTGAGATTCGTTCACCCAAAGTTCAGTACCGGGGGGTCTCTTCCTCACTCCGGGAACTAGGATAGCATATAGGATAACATAACTAGGTAACTAGGCCACGTACTTTGTTGAAGCCAAACAGCTCATCAGCTCATCCACCTGTTCTCTTTCTCGCATTTGGTCGCCCTTGCTGTGAGACCTTGGTCATTAATTATAACATTGCCATTCAGGGGATTCCTAGATGTCGGAGCAAATCATCGCCTGACACAAAAAAGGCGTGGGTGGGAAGGCCAATCCTGCACGGTGTGGATTCAGGACTCCATCCACACCTGTGTGGCCTCCAAAGCTTTTGCGTGTTTTGCCCCACAACTAAGGGACAGCTGTTGCGCCGCCCACAGAGTCTCCAGCTTCAAGACCACATACATTGAAGTGGATCTGCCACAGCCCACTGTGATGGGGCGATCGGACGGACAAGCAGCCAATAGATCTTGGAGTTCCATCCCAGCTCCCGGCTGCCTCAGGCCGCTTGGGCAGCTTCAGGTGCTTCACATCTGCCGATGATGGGAGGTCTCAAAGGACAAGGCTATCACGACGACCAATAATGACGACCATCGAAAGACGTGCCACCAAAATACCATGAGGACACAGAATTCAGCTGCAAAATTCAGCTACTGGTTTTGGCGTGAGGCTTCATACCTGCACTCCAAGCCAGGTCTTCCATCTACGCCAGGGGGTTCACATACTCGGAATTCACAACAAACTTGGAATCCACGAGGATTCGAGAGCCGTGAGGCTTCAGGTCAGCATCCATGTTGTAGTCTTTCATCTGTTTGCAAAGATGGTCGAAGGATTCTGGCACGCCTTGTCCACTTGTCCCACTGTGATGGCGTATACGGAGAGCATGGTCGGAGAGCATCTCAAAACGGCCCAGAACTGTCCAGTCCCCTAGGGATCCAGTCGTACCTCCTCAAAAGGTACAACACTGGCCCCTCCTTGGCACGGCCCCCAGTTCCCACCTTCGAAAAGAGGGTACAGTACTTGGATCCTAATAGGGGTCCAAAGTCGTTGAACCGTTGGAGAGTTCTCCACCGAGCTCTCACGGCCGGTCCACACACCGTGCGACGCTTCACGCACGCAGCACGTCGTGGTTCACGTCGTTCGTAGGGCCTCCGTAGCTACGATCGACATAGGACCGGTAGAGCTGCAGCACCAGGTAGGGGTTCAGAAGGCACGGCGGCAGTGCGGCAGCACAAATTGAGAAACAAAGATCACATGAGATCCAAGTGAATGGCATGAGACATGACCCAATTCAAGAGGCACTCCTACTTTAGTAGATGCAATGTCAACACATGTCCTTTCGTGGTGCCTCCCAAGCCGTCTGCCAAATCATCAGCGTTGATGCCATCAGTCACATCTGCGTCCACACCAGGAGAAGAGTGCATGTGTAGTGGACCTCGTATGACTTTCCGACCTCCACTCAACTCCCTCGCAGTACTGGAAAGTGTATGGTGCCGGAAGAACACAGCGTGTCCGTCACGCACATCCAGCAGTCGGACGAGGCAAGACGATGGCTTGAAGACTCCGCATCGAAACAAAACGCCTGGGAGTGTGAGAAGCTAATTTTGGCGTCCAAAGGAAGGGAGAAGAACTGCACATCCCTGTGGGCAGCAGTGACCATCGATGCTGTTGACTGCATCTTGCACACCCCGTCAAACGCTGTGGCCGGATCGGCAAAACGGTGAGCAAACCCTGGCAAGCCAAAACCTGCTTCACTCCGTCTTTCAAACATAGTCGATAAAAAAGCCTGTGCACATTCCTTGGCATGCTTTCTACGCCGCCAGGAATTCGTTGCATTCGAGAATGCAACATGCGAGGCAGCTTCACAGTCTGAACAGCATTGCATTCTCATGCATTCTCTGTGCACTAGATTGAACTGCTTTAAGTTCTCTGTACCAACAGCAAGCACTGCCACTGGGCTCCTGCGTGTGGCTGCCACTGTCCCACACCGGCCGCGCAGAACAGAGGAAATTCCACCAGAGGACAGGTTCAAAGCCATGAGTAAGGGAATTGTGGCTGATGTAGACTGAATCGCTGCGAGATCGCACCTTTCGTTTTCAAAGACAGCAACAACTCCACCCACCCAGTAAGATCTTCGACATGAGGTTCAGGAAGAAAGCCTGGACATCAATCGGTGCCACGTTCCGAAAGCTTCGCAGAAGAACCGGGAGCAAATCCGAAGACTTCGACGAGCCTTTCGCGTCGAAAAAAATGAAACACATCATAGTCTTACAAGTTACACCATGAAACATCGGCCACTCTCTTCCAACATTGGCCACCATGAAAATGTTACTCTTCATGGTAGACAGTCAAGTGACCTCGCGGTGTATAGACAGTCAGGTTTCGGTTTTAGCATCCGCCCAATTCCTCAAAGTTCTATATACACCGAAAGAGTCGTGAGACTCGGTTCACCGTCGGGCGGCCGACTAACCTTCCCACGCCTGCAAGGGCATCTGCTCCGACATGAGCAGCTTCAGGTTACGGGTGACCGGTTTGTAGGGCCACAAGTAGGTGGCGCGCGCAAAGGTGTCCTCAGTTGTTTTTTTCTAACCATGGAATGCCGATTTTAGAGCAACAAATAAGGAAGGTTTGGAAAGAATGGTTGGAGGAAAGGATCTGGGGAAGACCGTGGTGCAACGGTGCAACCTTGTGCAACCTCTTTCAACAATTCATAAGTTTTGGGAGGAATTTGAAGGGAAAAACAAGCAAAGAAGAGACATGTTATTGCCTGAAAAGAAACTTCTGAGGTTCCGGCACATACCACCCTTTCATACCGTAAAGTCATGAGTTCACCCAGCCAATCGGTCTGACTCATTCTTGTGATCTTCACGAGTTTCAAGTCTATGAATTATTTTGATACAGCACGTTTGCATACATTTGCTGTCCAATTGCTAGATCTGGTAGAGTCTGTCCTTTAGCGCCGAGGGCACAATGTTGGAAGACAGCCCCAAAAATAGGATGTAAGATACACTGATTTGCATGGGCCTCAACTTAGCAAGCTCAGGAATAGAGCTCAATAAAAGTAGCCAAGAACACCACCCAACAAGCACCCTAAGCAAACACCCACCCACTCCTGGTGAGTTCCGCCCCGATATCCAGGCTCCAAATGGCTCAATTGGCCGGACCCGATTCTGCCCAAGTCTCACGGCGCAAGATCCGATGGGCATACCTCCCAAACGAAAAGAAAGGTTTAAGAAGGTCTAAGACTATGTCTAAGCCTTAGACCTTCTTAAATGGTGTCTAAGATGTGTTAGATATCAAATCTCCGGTCTCAAAAAAAAGACACCGCACGACGAACAACCGCGGAACGGGCCCGCCCGCCCACCTCCGGTCGCGAGTCCCGTGGATGTAAGGCCCGGGTGGATTGGCCCATGGAGCAGGTCACATTCTCGTCCAACCACCGTCCAACCACCGAGTTCCTATCAGGGCAAGCGTGGCTGGTGGCTTGCGTGGCTGGTGGTTTGCGTGGTTTTTTCGATGTGTTTTATGAGGTTTTGGGATCATGGGCATCCCGACTTCCTGCGTTCGGCGCCGGCACCCCGACATGGAACTGCACCAAGTTTTTGGCCAAGGGAGTGGTCGCCGGATGTTTACCGCCTGCAAACTGCAACAACTACAGTGAGGAATATAATATATAATATATAGAGTTCGCTAGCTGATTGGAAGAGTTCCGTGCACGATTGCATGATTTCTGGGTCAACATCCAATCCTTGCCACAAACATACACAAACTCTGTTCTTGGGCCATCAAGGCCTTTGACCCATCCGTTTCAGCAGACCCTTCTGCCAAGGCACTCGTGCACTCGGGGAAGTTTCTCCTGAAAAAAGTGACGTCCGAGTCGCTCTCCCTGATGAAACACCCAAACAAAACCACCATTCCGGAAGGTTCAGCGAACTTGTGCTGGGTTTTTGAGACTCATCGGGGGATGGGTCAAAATAATGTAGTTATAATTAAGCCCAGCCAACAGCATGTAGCGCACGACTTCCCGTCAGAAGGTCAAGCAAGGTATCCTGGTTCCATGACACATGGCCATGGGATGAAAAGAATTGCTTTACGGAGTTCACAGGGATGTAGGGTGATCTTGAGCGAAAAAGCTACGTCGTGGACTGACCAATTGCGCCCTGAAACACGCTACCAGTGCTTCAACCACTGAAGCACGACAGTGGCCCATAGGTATTTGACGATGTATCTGGACTTCCCAACCATGGCTATCGAATCCGTGTCCAGTCATAATGATGACCAGTCTGGCTATAATTTTAATATATTACCCTGCGGACCCGGGAGACTAGCTTAACAAGTACCATGCGATCGGGGACTACTTTCACTAACCGGCCGCTTTCCGATCACTTTTCTGGCACTCTCTCCGAGCAAGCTCCACTTCTCATCGATTCCAGGCTGCGACCATGTCAATCCTGCAGCAAAAACCGATAAAGTCTTAACACAATCTTGCAAAAATAGTCTCAAAATTCAACATCAGTTTGCAACTGCCACTTTTGCAGCAAATTGTAGGTCCTTCTCATCCGTTTCTTGGCTACTTTCAGCCGCCAGCAGTTGATATCTGCATATGCATGTATATACTTCGAAGTATATTTTCATGCATACTCACAAGCAAATGCACATGAATTGTACATCCGACACGACCTCCACTCTCTTCTCGTAGGCTCCTTGTTGCAGGGAAGTGCGGGCAATCCACACAAAAGCCCTCAAAAACTGTAGCTTTATCACCAGATACTAGCCGAGAGTCTCTTCCGAAGAGCGCGTTTCATCCATGCGCGAGGCCAAAACGACAGGGCAACGAAGGGCGGGGATGTGGTGCTATGATGTCATTACCCAGAGGCACCAATGTCTGTAATATTTGCTGACATTCGAGAATGCACCTTCTTTTTGATAACATTGACGCCGAGAAGCCCTCCGTATGCAAAAATCACCTACAGCCGTTTATGAGCTTCGAGACTCACTTTTTCACTCTCTCGGGACACCTTAGGTATATGCAATACCAGCCATATCACACAGGCCAGTTGGGAACCCCGCGGCATTCAAACACACCAAAGCTTCACACATATGCGTGTTAAAGTTCATTCAAGCTCATGGGTCCCCAACGCGGCGATACATTTTCAGCCGGAGTGAGATCCTCAACATCACACGCAGCTCCAACATTGCACGGTGAACGCGTGTACATAGCAACTTCAGTATACCCATGAAGTCTTCATCATTGTACGTGTGGGTGTACCGGATGTTGTAACATTGTGTGGCCATTAGCCAATTGAGCTCTTGAAACATCTCAGCTGGTGAAGCAAAAGCAAGGCATGCACCAACTTTAAAAAATACATCAAAACACAAATGTTTCTAATCAATGCCAGGCGCATGATGTTTGGGCCTGATCGGGTATCGCAATACTCCAGCTTCAGCTGTCTTGCGTGCTAGTAGCGTGTACACGCCCAGAAACCTTGCTGGCAAAAGTTGCTGGCCATCAATGCCTTTGTAACTTAATGACTTAGCAGTGAGAACCAAACAAAATCACTTTGAATCTCATGCCAAAGGCACTCCATTGACAAATTCCACATGTGGTTTGCTTCTGCTTGCCCCAGATACCGTTTGCCCAACTCAACACACAGCTGCCATTCGTCCAGCTTCTGACATGCACTGGCTGCTAGCACAAACCGCTCCGTAGTTTCGAAACGCGAGCATGCATCCTGCATGCACGCATTGAGAAACGAGGTGACTATGCGATTGGTCCAGGCTTTGAGCGAGAGAGCTGGGTAGTCGGTGGCACTGATGCCGAGAACTGAGATAGGGATGTATTGTTGGTAGTGCCTACTGCTGATCTGATCATTCTTGAAACCCCGTCTAGAAAGAGCTTTAAACAAGACCAACCCAAATTGGCCCAAACCACCAAACATTGTACTTATTGCAACATCTCGGGCACTCAATGCCATGCAAACGGCACCAGCCATTGAGGGAATGAGTAAGGCTTATGAGCTTCTGTTGCAGGCTCCCACCGCCGAAGTACCCAATCTCTGCAAGATCAAGGATCACAGAAGCGTTCAACCACTGAGATAGTCCGAGCTGAACTGTGTGCATGGAACACGGCCGGATTAGCAAAGGGTGGAAACCCACCACCATAGTCAATGGCGAGACCCACCTCCCTATACACTGTGTGTAAAATTCAGGGATGGTGAACCTGTGGAACGAAGAGAACTTTCTGAATTGCACATACCTGCAGTGTCCACATGTTTGGAGGAAACAACAACGCATCCGTGCACAACAAAGCACAACAGAAAGAAAAAACTATCGGCTACTGACGCCAACTCAGTCACTGCGTCGCTCCTGGCCGAGTGCTTGCTGCACACAAGTGACATATAGATGTGGCCTTGTAGAAATATGCCAAACCCATAACCTCTGCATGCCATTTCCAATCACCCCTGTATTCCACAAGTGCCCACGCCCCAACCATAGGTGTGTTTGCCCTCATCGTGCGAACAGTGTCAAGGCTTTTCCCATCAGGACCCACACTTGGCCATATACCAAGGTACGCTACCTCATGTGGATGTTGCATAAAGGAAACAGGGCGACCTGCGTGTAAAAATATATACTAGCTACTGTAGGTCCAAAAAAGAGAAAATGGTGCACATTGATACATGTCAGGAAGCGTTCATGCTCCAAGCCAGTACCCTGAATATCGGGTCTAGAGTTTCTCTTCCGAGGGAAAGCTCGCGCCGCAATACAAACAGGGGAAACGTGGAAATGTCCAAGCCTTGGACTGCTCCACATGCAAACAAAAACACTTGAAGCTGGGAACCCCCATCACCAAAACTTTAATGCATTGCTTTCAGAAGGTTGAACCTTGCAACTATAGACCTGGCAACAAAAATGGACATAATCCACCAAGACTCATCTCACTTTGTACAAAACGCTCGAAATTGTGCAGCAAATGAACTTTGATCCGCTCAATGTATATTTGGCATCGTCGCCTGCGAAACCAATGGGTACACGAAGCTGTTCACCTGGCTGAGACGCAGCTTCTGCTGCAGGATGGAACGGCATGTAGTTTCTCCAGTGCGCCCAAAATCCCTCAACATCAGCTCGTGCCACACCGATGGTCTCTGACCCCTTTTTTTGTTCTAAAACAGTCAAAGAACAACACAAGCTTCTAGGCGTCAATGTTATCAAAAATTAGGTACATTCTCGAGTGCCAGCCAAGTTTATATTACGTACAGACATTGGTGCCTCTGGGATATGCTTTTGGGGCTTTGGTCCCTCAATAAAACGATCTTGCTGCAAGACAGGGCACATGAAGCCAGTGCAACATCTCGTGTGGCAGGAGCAAGGGAAGTCTGAAAGTGGTTTTCCTTTTCCGTGCTGGGTCTGAAAGATCTTTGATAGGGATTTGCACCCAGAAAAAATCCTTAGCTGTCAAGGGACAGATTCCCAGATGTATGCATATCCCCAAAGAAACAACAGGAATTAAACAACAGCAAAACATGCACCAGTACCCTGCTCAGGGTCAATGGGGATATTCAATATTCGAAACAAATCCCTCACAATTCTGTGGCCGTCTGCCACTGGCGCCTATCCGAGCAATGCGCTTGGTGAGATCGCTGCACATTCCGTTGCTCTCCTGCATTATAGGAGAAGGGAGGAAATCAATGGCACCATGATGGTGAAATTCATGGATAGGGCTGGGTGGTTTGCCATTCTAGAAAAAGGCCGGTCCTGAACACACGCCTGCGCTGCTTCTTGTAGGCCTTTGCAGCTGGTCGCCTGGGATGTAGCTTAGTGTGGGGTTCTTGGTCAATGTCGATGGTCACTTATTCAAACAGTTTAGTGGAGCCAAGAAGCCCCATGTCCGAGCGAAGATATCAAGTGCTCAGCAAATGGAGCGTCTGCGACGGAGCAGGAATTCCGAGGGTATGTGCATGCGGCTAACGCACAAGTAGTGGAGCTATACGTACAATCATTTTCTTTCCACGCAAGACACCTTTGATGCCCAGACGGCCTAACCCGGAACGCCAAGGCCAACAAACAGATTTGTTTTGACTTCAGGGTTTCCAGCTTCATAAGGGTACAAGGTGGAACACTACAGCTCTAACCACAGCATGTGCAATCTGTTTGGCCCCTCTGACAATTCCAGGATCCGGGGTACAAACTAGATCCATGCCACCTGCAAAGCAGGCAACGACTGGTTAGCCAGAATGCCTACATGTGTGGGCTTAGACACCAATCTCACTTAAACACAGGAGCGACAACAAGAGTTTTCTTATAGTATGTGCTTATCTTGGCCAGTTAAAGACACCCCAACTCTCCTCATCGCAATGCATTGCATTGCGATCGGTCAAACAGGACTACCAAGACTCACGCCTAACTAAGGCTTTGCAGCCCCTTTGGCTTTGGCTTTGGGCTCCTTGCACATCCCCTTCACACTCACGGAGGCGCGCTTGTAATCAGCGATGGCTTCAACAAGCACTTGAGTCGCAGACATCAGAGCGTCAGATGAGCCCTGGCCAGCCACACTTGCCTTCGGAAAACAAGACATGGGCCAACTTGTACATACTAGAGAGTAAAGCAGATTTTGGGCCTCAACACCATGCCGGGCTTTTGACAAGTTCTCCTCAAATTTGTTCATGTCCGCGACGATCGCCACTCGCAATGCCTCAGGCCTCAGATGCGCTGCATCTTGGCAGAATGAAAGAAGAGGGCGTACGTGGGACTGTCTCTGGGTTTCTGTTTGCACCACTCCCCCACACCAAACAAGAAACCCTCCTATACACATCCAGGGGTCTGTGCACATCCAGGGATAGGGGTGTGCATGAGGTGGGT